AAAATTTTCCCTTTCCTTTCTTTTCCTTTTCATTTCATTTGATAAATTTTCTTTTCTTTTTTCTTTGTCTTCTTGAAATTGTTAGATTATTTTGGATGAAATGAAAATAAAAACGAAAAAAAAATTAATTCTAATATTCAAGCATATTCATTGCATTCAGATTAGACTACGGTAAAATTCATTTAAGATAAATTTTTAAAAAGTTTATTTAAGAATGGAATTTAAAATGAATAAAATTCTTTTGGGAATTTTTATAAATAAAAAAAAAAGGAAGAAATTAACGAAAGTGAGAAAATGAAGTAAATCATGATAGTTTATGGGACAAGTGTAGTTTTTATTTGAAACTAATTGAAATTTATGCAAAAATTACAATTTAATTTTTGGGGAAATTGATTATTTATGATTAATTATCTGAATGGACAACTTTCGTTCCGGAAAACCGTTTCCGGAACGAAAGTTGTCCATTTTCATACCGTTTCCATGAAATTTAACTGAAGAATTTATAATTTATAACTGATTACGTCAAATGGTATAACATTTCATTTCTCGAATTTTCACAGTTTTTTCTTTTCTTTTTTTCCCCCCCCAAAAAATAAAGGTCAAAAAGTAAAAGGGCAAATAATTTTATCTTACCTTTTCATTCATTTTAAACAAAATTTCATCTCCTATGATCATCCCAATAACATTTTTAGGATTTAAATTCTAAAAAATTAACGAATGGAAAAGTTTGGATGGCAAAATTTTTAATCAAATAAACTTTTTAATTAAAATTACAACATTTTATTGCTTTGTTTTGACAATTTCAACACATTCATTAATGCAAATTTTCATCATTTGTATTTTAAATTTACCTTTTCTTTTAAAGTAGTAATTCGTAACTTTTCCTCCTGACCATTGGCCATTCTGATTCTTTTATTTATACCATTTGTCCATCAGATATAAAAATAACAAATTCTCGTAATTTGAAAATATACTTTAATTAAAGTTTTTTAATATATTAGCTAAACTTGGTGTAACATTAAACTATAAAAAAAAAAATCAAAAACATAATAGCCCTCGTAATTTAAGTATTTAACGCTTGCAGACAATCACTGGTCACTGTCCATTGAAAGTGACCGGTTGAGAAATACTATTTTAAAAAAATATTTTTTTTTTTGACTTTTTGATCAATAGAATATATACTTTTTAAAGTGAAAATTTTAATCAATCATCGTTGTTGGAACTCAAAAAAAAAAAAGAAATAAAGAGAAAAAAAGAAGAATGAAATATTTCAATATCTGTTTGCATCAATCTGTCAGGTGTTCTATTCTGTTTACATCTCCTTTCTATCCTTAATGTTTGTACAAATTTCAATTGAATTCGAATTTTTAAAAACCAAATCCTCATTTCTCATCTTTTTCACTAAGCTATACGGCTTTAAATTTTTAAATCCAATAACTTTTTTGAAATATAAAAAAAAATTACGAAATGATTTTTAATCTTTTATTATTTTAACCTCTCCTTTGCTAATACTATGAGGATATTTTTTTTGAATGTATATGTGAAAAGAAGAAAAATTTAATTTAGTCAATGAAAGATTAAAATTTAAAATTTTTTTCCACATTCATCTTCCTCATTTATTAATCCATTCAACTTTGACCTATAATCCATGAACATTTAGCTAGCAGTATGACTGGCTCATTTATTAATCCTTTCAACTTTAACCTATAATCCCTGGACATTTAGCTAACAGTATGACTGGCTCATTTATTAATCCTTTCAACTTTGACCTATAATCCATGAACATTCAGCTAGCAGTATGACTGGCTCATTTATTAATCCTTTCAACTTTGACCTATAATCCATGAACATTTAGCTAGCAGTATGACCATATTGTAGTTTTTTTCCTAAATTCTGATTAGGAAATTCAAGAAATTTCCATTAACTGAATCATCATATTCATTCATCCGTTCATCAATATTTTCCGTTTTTTTTAATGAAGAAGAAATACTATAATTTCAGCTTCAATTAGTTTAATACGTTAATTATAGTTACTTTGACGGAAGCAGTTCTTTTTTCCCTTATGGATTCGATTATTATTTGTTGTTTATCCGGAAATTTTCATCTCTTTTTTATAAATTCAATTACTATTACTTGCCGCTCATCCGGAAATCTCCATTCCTTTTAAACGGTTTCAATTACTATTATTTATTGCTCATCCGGAAATTTTCACTCTTTTTTTATGCCTTCAATTACTATTATTTATTGCTCATCCGGAAATCTCCATTCCTTTTAAACGGTTTCAATTACTATTATTTATTGCTCATCCGGAAATTTTCACCCTTTTTTTATGCCTTCAATTACTATTATTTATCACTCATTCGGATACCTCAATTTTTTTTTTTTCTTTTTGTTCTATTATTTCTTTATCTTCAAATAAAATTATTATTTCGAAAATTTTTCTTATCATTTCAAAATTATTTTACGATTAAATGATTTTTGATAATTTAATTCACATATTATGGTATTTGGGTATGCAGAAATATTATTATATTGATGTAAGCAAGAATATTGATTAACTTATCACTTACTCACTTATCACTAATCAAATTTCACGTGTAAAACACGTGTTAGTTTAGATTCATACATTAAGTGTAAACATTTTCACGCTTTATATCAAACAATACTTTACTCTTTTTCCATTAAACTTTGATTTAATTAGTTTAATGTGAAAGAAATTTGCATTTAAACTAAAAAAAGAAAAAAAGTGATTTTGAAAGTAATATGTGAGCTTAACAAACGTAGGTGTAATTATTTTGACTATAAATACATTATCTAATATATACTTAATTATTGTCTAACTTATATCCTGCACATATTTTTTACCTTTGACCTTTAAAAATTATCATCATTGTATGGAAAATTTATAATGAATTAAAAGCAATCAATTTAGCAAAATGGATTAATAAGTTAATTAATATTTTGATTAAAATTTATTCGATATGTTATTACAAAATGCTTTTTTTTTCGATAAATTTACAATCAAATATTAATTTACAAATAATTTAATAATTACAAATTCCAATTTTAATTAAATGATAAAATTGTTAAAAAACTAAGCGAAAATTTTTTTCTTTTTTTTTCAACTAAAAGAAACTAACAATTTTTGTTTCATTTTGTTGTAAAAATGAATGATTTCTCCTATTCATTTCTTACAAATCATTAAATTTATTCTCAGCTAGAACCCCTGTTAGGAAGCCGTTTTAAAATGGCTAACAAATGGACACTCACTCACTGACACCCACACGGACACAGACTGACACCCACACGGACATAAACACACACCCGTACAGACATAAATACACATTTTAATCGATCTCTTCCTCTCTCTCTTTTCAAAGACATATCTTTTAGTAAATATCGCCTGACAAACATTTTTCATCATCCAACAATCATTAGTTAACATTGTTATGACTCATCCATATTACTCCTTCTTTTTCATTTCAAATTTTCCAACATTTCTATGTTTCATCAATTAAAACCGATAATGAAATCGATTTTTAAATCCAATAACCGGATCAGGATTTTTAAATCCAACAATTACAGCTACTTTTTTTCCCCATTTAAATTCAATAATCAAATTAATGGTTTTTTAAATCTAACAAATAAATCTATTTTTTACACATACTCTTTTACTTTTGTTGGTTTATTGAATTAATTTTAATTAAATTATTTATTTAATATTTAAATTTAAATTAGAAGATGTTAAAGATGCTGTAAGTATAATTCTTGAAAATTATTGCTAGAATGGAAATTAGATTCTTTTCTCTGTCTACAAATATCCGATAATTAATTTTTTTTTTTTAGTGAAGTAAAAAAGCATCTTGAACCCTTAACATACTTATATGATATATCCATATACAAGGCATTTAATAGATAAAACATAATGAGAGATATTTTACCCATTTCATTAATTAACCCGTGAAATGCAAATAATAAAGCTCGAATTGATGCTAACAATTTTTTATATCATATTTGAGTTAAAAAAAACATCTCAAGATAATATTGCAACGGTGTTTATTCATTTGCCAATTACTTTTTAGTGATTTAATTAATTATCCTTTTTTCTTTTCAGTTCCTATCAATTAAAAATTACTCAAATCGTCCACTGTTTTAATGCTAATAAGTTACATTCTCATTTACTCAGTTAAAAGCTAACAAAAACTTGTTATATACATTACAATGAATGTTCATTAGCAGGTATGCAATAATTAATTGAAATGATTAGTTATACAGGTGAGACGCAAATTTTCATAAAATGTTAACCGATGGGCTGCATCTTTTTAGATGACCTATCATTTAATTATTTGAAATTTCGATTTAATTAAAGTTATGTTTTACATCATTAATGTTTATTTTATTTGCTTAGGTTGTTTTTTTCGCCTTTACATTTCTTTGTTTCAATCCCAAAATTTGGACAAATAACAGATTATTATAACCTAAATCGATAAATTCATTATGCAAGCTTTTTATACTTCATTCTAATCTCTTTTTAAACTTGAATTGATATTTGTTTCAAGCAAATGTATGTCTTTTTATATATCGATTTTCTTTTTCTTTTTCTTAGGACTCTTTTTAGCACACAGTCACATTTTCAGTATTGTTTCAAGTAAATTAATCCCAAGTTTTTGTTTCTAGGACTTTTTTCAATGAATAATGACTCCTGACTTCTATTTTCTCTTCATTTTATAGATTTCTTACATAAAGAAATTTGACAATGAAGTTGCACTTCTTTTCATCCACGTTTTTGAATATCTTTACTAATAGTAAGCTAATAATTGATTTTATTCATAATTTTGCAATTTTTCATGTAAATTATTCAGCTTTTTTCATACAGTAATAGCTTTTTCAGCTTTTTTTGAACATAAACTGATAATTTCTCATTCTTTTTTTTCTCTCTTTCCAATTGGTTACGTTAACATTTTACATAGTCGCAGACGCTACATGAATTTGTGTTTCTATTGCAGGCAGGTGAATTATATGTGCATAGCGAAGAACAGGAAATAACAATGAATACGAACGCAGCATGTAATTTGGAAAGGTTGGTGCAACGGCTTGAGACAGCCACACTGCGTTTGGAAGCATTGGGTGCTCAGAAACCGATGTTAGCACCGAAACCTACCAGGAATAATACACCACCACCAACTGTTCCTTGTAAGTTTCGAACTTATTTAAAATTGTTCGTTTTTATATTGCCTCCGATCAGAATCAGTTTACGCCTTTGATACACACTTCTCTGCTCCTAAACATAGCTATATGTTTATCTGACTTAAAGCATTAATCACTAATTAGAGCAGGATGAAGTTTTTGCAATAGGCCTATTGGAAGCAACAGGATGAACAACAGCTATGTTTAAGGAGGGCGTTATTACGATGATAAAATCATCCGGGACTGAAAAAGAATTTCAGACAAAAATTATTTATCCGAAACAATAATTGTGCTCATTTACCTTGATCTTCAATTCGAATATAACCTTATCGCCAAAGATATAGAAAAAATGTTTTTGCCACTTCAGTCTGGTCACGTAACATGGGTAATTCAGACTAAAAATAGTTAGTTGGGCATGGTATAGATAGAGATTTTTTTGTAGTTTATTTTTATAGTTTATTGGGGGGAAGTTCCACGAATTGTATCATGAAAGATGATTAGGTATGCTCTTTACTGATTAGATCTATGCATATTGGTTCACCTCTCAAAGCTGTATCTAATCTAAAAAAGTGCTTGAAAATTAGATAAACTTGTGACGTTCACCAGATAGTACACTCAACACTGTAATATGAAAAAAAAAATAAAAATAAAAATGATTTGTCACCTGAATTACGATCTTCTATAATCTGAAAGTGTAAAATTGATGTCTTCATTACTATTTGATGATCATGACTGAGGAATGGATTTTTCGGTGACATATAAGAGAGTAATGAAAGTACGTTTTAGAACTGTAAATTATAGCTATAAATGTGATTAGTAATCTTTCAAAAGTGTAATATACCAGACATTTTTAATGTTTAGTTGCATTCACTGTCTTTTATCTGGTATCTTTATGTCGTAGAATGTGCTTGGATTTTCAGGGTAGTTTTAAAAAACGACAACTTCAAATTGAAAGCTAAAGGACTTTCGAATAAGAAGTTTCATTTGTTCAATGATGACTTAAGTACTTTGATGAGGTGTGTGTGTATATATATATGTGTATGTGTGCATGTGTTAGTATCTATGTGCATGTATATGGCAAGGAAGATTTTAAAATATTTTGGAATCTTTTTGTGAACTGCATCTTGAGTTGGACACAGACGAATGGACGAAATGCAAAGTGAAATAACACGGGAGATAGTAATGACATTAGTTTTGGTTTCGGTGAGAACATTGTTCTATGAAGCAAACAACTGCAGTGGATGTTGATGAAGGTGATTGAAATGTTCTTATAGGAAGCAAGAATAAGCTTGTTCTAACCCTAAAGCCCTATCCATAATTCTTATTCTTACTTTTTTTTTTCTATCCTGTTTTGATCTATCGATAGCATAGATCTAGAGCTATAGCAGCATCAACCGCAACTGCTGTTATAGCAGTGCTTTCGGTCAACGACTACAAGTTAAACTATCATTTTGTTCAACTTTCCCAATTCCAATTAATTTAAATCTTCCGGCACCTTTTCTAGTATTATCAGAGAACTTCCATTGTTTTAGAAAATTATGGAAAACCAGGAAGAGTTATGACATGAAAACCATAATATCTCATTTGCTTAAATTTCGAGTACAATCTTATGAAGTACTTTGAAGCATTATTCCATTCGATTTTTCAATTTAGAAACTTTCCATGCTTTTCCATCATTGTTAAATTTTTTTCATTTTTTTTCTCAAATATCACATGAAATTTCCCTTAAATAAACACATGGTAATATTCAATCTCCGTGATATTCATTCTTTAGCTCTTGATTCTTTGAAAAATCATTTTATTCACTGACGAATGCTTATTTGTTTTGTTTTTTCCTAAATTTTTTGGTCAGCTTCACCTATTTCGAGCTTCCACAAGATTTGGTAAAGTTTGTTTTTCTTCATTCCTCAGTTACAGCCTTCTTTTTAGTTGGCTTTTCTAGCTTAGAGAGAAGAGAGAGAAAAGAGAACAGTTCATTCAATGCTGCAAGCTTTTTGAATTCTATGGAACAGTTGCTTGGTGGAACAGATCGCTGTCGGAAATTCCCGTTTTGCTTCTATGAAAATTTTCTTTATAGATAATTTTAGTAAGAAAATTCCATCATATGGCGATGCTTCTCTACTGAAACAGCCCCTTCATAAGATATGTGAGGTTCACAGATAAGATTACAAATTGTTGCATGATTGGTTGGTTGATCGTAGGTAGGAGAAGACCATTAAAGGCTTAAAAGGTGAGTGTGTTTGCATGATTTTTATCAAGTTGCTATGTCTTAGCTGGGTTAATCCATATTTATACACCATGCATTTAGAATAGTGAATGCTTTTCAAATCGTGTGCCAAAGTCATTCAACATTTACTGTTCTCTGTTTTTTTCTTCTTGACATAGTACTCTCACTTTATTGGAAATTCACATTTTAATGGTTTCTCACGATTGTTGAAAATTAGCATTTTAATAATTTTTAACGATTTACCGTTTATTCACTTACTTTTTTAGTTTGGTTATGTGATTCGAAACAATATTTCGTAAAATTGAGCTTGGGAAATCACCGTCAAGCCTTATTGTGCTAAGAAATTTGCTGGAATTCTTCGAACGATTGTTTATTCGATAATGGCATATTCTTCCAGCTTGGGTTAAATTTTGGTTATTTACCTCTGAAAGGCTTTTTTGCTTTTCTTGTTCTTCCTGGTTTGACTTCGCGTAAAAAAAGAAGCAGGTAGAGAAAATGTTCTTCCAGAGTCCAAGACCATTCGGGCAGCACTCTACGTCATATCGTTCGATGAGTAGCGGCATGCATTCATCGTCTAGTATGACCAGCTTGCAAGTGCCGGAACCGAAAAATGGACGTGCTAGTGCGCCACCAATAAGTTTTGCATCCGTTTATGAGGGTAGCCGTTTTGGCCCATCAGGACCACCACTGGATCAAACTTCTATTAGTAGTACTAATTTCGAACAAACGAGAATTTCCAAGGAGTCATCAGATGTTGTTAGCCCAGCTGAGTTGTCCACACTGGATTCCAAAAATTATGCGAAGTGCAAGACTACATCCTTACATGACTCACCTGATTCAGACGGAACTTCTGGTCAGAATTTGAATGTTTTCCAGCCAGAGATACATATTCCAATATCGAAGAGCAGTGTATTCCAAGTTCAGCGTCCCAGTGTTAACCAACAACTACCACATTGGATATGTCAAACACAATCTAGAGAATCGCAGCCAGAACAAACTTTACAAAATGTTAGTTCATATTGCAAAGAATACCATCGGTCGATCACTAGTAACCAAGGCAATCGCTTTCGCTCTGGTTCAGCGGTGCCTTTTACCGAGCATTCTCCAAAGCCGGTAATAATGCAGGTGAAACCGGTACCCATTTTAGGCACTGGTGGATATGCCAGTATGCAATCAACACATGAACAGGGTGGTTTTTCCGACGCACGGGTTAGAAGTTCTGCTCAGTTTAATGCATCTCAAATTGCTTTAAATGAACAACAACAACAGCAGAAGCCAACTGCGTATCAGCAATGGGAAAGGCGTAAAAACTATGCAACATTACATCATGTAACATCACCAAAAATGGGGCCATTGCAAAGGCGTACATCAGATCCAAATTTGTTGAAAATCAATGGCAACGATTTGCCGGAGAATATAGCAATGTTTAATGTCGCCAAGGGAGTTCGTGCAGAACTAGAGCAAGATCCAAAATTCCGAAGAAGAGCTGACATTTTGAGTAACCGAACAGTAGCGGAACCTACTACAGGCACGTTTTCCTCACCAACTCCTCTTAATAAAGAACTACCGAAACAGTCTCCCTCATTGCGACAAATAGAAAGTTTTTTCGAGCACAACGTTGAACAACTTCATAACGTGTTTGGTACCAAAAGACCACCACCGGTACCATCAGCAAAACCATTCAATGTAGAACATGTCCGTAGTATATTCCGAACCAACAACACTGTTTGCACAGACTCGCCACCAGTGGCTACCTCTATATCTATGGATACACAAGTTAAACAGGATAATCCGCATTTAGGGGAGCCGATAAAATTATCCATTGAGACGCATAAGGCTCAGGAAGGAACACCTCACGCCACATTGAGGGAAGACATACGGACATCCGGGATTATCAACCGCCACATAATTAATACTTCACAAAAGACTAGACCGGAAAGTGGCACTGGAAACTTGGTGGAACAGAAGGCATGTTCGGTTAGTGAAATAGGTAAAGAAAATACACAAGCAAAACCGACAGCACTTACATTTATTGTTGATAAACCAGTAATTACAGCAGGCACTGATAAAAGCCCCGAAATGCGAAAAGAAATAACCATACAGCGAGAACAACATATCCTTTCTCAGGATATTGCTGTGTTGGAAAAGGATTACGATTCTCTTGCCACGTTTGTCATACCACGACGCCTAAACCAACCATTTCCTGTGGATAGTGCAACATTCATTAGTGGTAATGAGAAAACTCGAAATGCTGCTAGTCCACTAGGGATCTTAATGAAAGATGGAAATGGCAACGATTCGGGAATTAAAACACCAAAAAAAGTTGCATTTCAATGTGACAGAGATAATATCAGTTTTATGAGGAATGAAACCGAAGAAAGTAAAAGTAAGTAATATTCTTTGTGATCATCATATCTTATCAGAGGAATTTGCGAAAAAAAAAATGTCGCAAAGAGATAATCCTTGTCATAATTATTTCTTTCAGTGAGATAAGATTTGCTGTATTTTTTCCATTCAAAAATTTTTTTCTCTTTCCGTGCAGATTTCTTCTAAAGATTTATAATGATTTAACTTTTCTTTTTCTCAAGATTCTCTAGTTTGATCAGTGAACAGTATATAAGATATGAATATGTGAACAATGATGTGGTGTAGTTTGAGATATCGAAAGTTCCATTTCACATATCATTATATTCTATTTTATGTTCTTTGATGTATGAAATTTTTCTTCTGTCCATTTTGTCGTCGTTATGTATTTTACGTATATTCACAATAGCAAGTGCATGGAAAGGAATGTTTTAGACATTTAAATGATTTTGTCTTTTTCTTTTGTAACCTAAAACGATTGGTGTGACAAAGTAAACAGTCACTGAAAAAATATATTTATTCAAAGTTTCAAAGAAAAACAAAAGGTTTTTGGGAACCATAAAAATGCATAAAAGTAGTAATTTTTTCACTGATTTTAGGATGCATATTACTATTTTTGCGCATATTTATTCCCTTCTAGTCTGCTAATCATAACATAATTGTATTACTTGACCAAAAGAATAAAGTTCTTCAAAGTTTTCAAAAAAAAAAGTGACGAGCAAAAGCAATAAACAATAAATGACCAGCAAAAGCAATAAATCCTTAGCTTCGAAATCTGATATGAGTTTCTTTTAAGAAGAATGCATATTAAGCAGTGCTTTTCCTCCCAACATTTCGACATTGATTCGGGATGTTTGAGGAGTTGAGCAGTTATTGGAGTAATTAATAGCTTATTTCCCAAAAAATCTAATTCTTTTTATGGGAAAATTTAAAGGAAATTACTGGTCATAAATCGGAACATCATATCATGTGTAATCGGATCTTTTTTAACTGCCATTTTAATTGGTAAAAGTTCGCATCTGTTGTTCACATCTTTTCATTAGTATTTTATTGAAATTTTAGCCTCAACTGAAACTCCACCATCTGTTGTACAGTATGATGATGCTGTTAATGAATCTCTTCAAAGATTGCTGAAACTAAGTGCTGATATTGGTGGTGATCTGCAAACAGTGGTATGTCAAATCATTTTTTTTCCTTTACTTTTGCATATCTTTCTAGCAATTTATGGGACCAAACATATGTTACGGTGAGCAAAGTTTTGAAGTTGTGACTTTTAAATTGTAATCCACGATTTCGACGATGGTGATATTGATGAAATTTTTGATTTACATATGGTTATATTGCGCTTTTTTTCAGACTGAAGGAGGAGATCAGGTGGAGGGACGAAAATCTTTCATTTTTGGAAATGCTTCGTTAGATAACATGTTCATTTTTAGGGCAATAATTTGTCTGCACTTTTCACGGAACAGCGGAATTTTATTTGGTTAGCTGCTGGTCAAAAAGAACCATCGGTTAAGGATCTTCAAGCAAAACTTAATCCTTTGGTTAAGTTAATGGAAGATTTATCAGTATTCAAAGAATCCAAAAGAAATACACCGTTTTTCAATCATATTTCAGCGGCAAGTGAGGGAGTTCAAGCCCTTGGATGGCTCACTGTGGTAAGACCCTTAAAACTTTTTAAATTTCCAATTTGCCTAGTTTTGTGCCATGTCTTGAAATAGACTTCTCGCATACCATATTAGTTAAGGGAAACAATATTTCTGTTTAAGGAGAACTAGATATATAAGCATAGATATGGAGGTAAGAAATCCATTGCATTTCTTTTATGTTTTGGTTATTCTTCGTTTCAGTAATTTTACAAATTACAGAAACCAGCTCCAGCACCATTTATCAAGGAAATGTTTGAAGCATCGATGTTCTTTGTGAATCGTGTCTTGAAGGAACACAAGGATGATAAAGTATGTTATCAATGATATTGATCATAAGGTGTATTGTAGTGTATTTCTTGTTCTATTTGAAAAGCTGACTTTCGATACTTTGGTTTATTTTTCATTCCTTCAGTTGAAATGTTAAAAGTCGTTTTTAATTTTTCTTATTTCCATGGTTACTTTAATTTTTTTCGATACTTTGGTTTATTTTTCTTTCTATTTATTTATTTTTTCAATTGCATTGATTGGGAAATTTTATGTCTATTTAGATACATCAAAAAATCAGTGAGGTTTTTTGAAATCATTTTATATTCTTTGCAGATCCATATCGAATGGGCGAAATCATGGTCAGATGTTTTGAACGCTTTGCAGAAATATGTACGACAAGTACATACTACGGGTCTTGTTTGGAACAGTTGCCCAGTGAGATTTTATTAGTTTCGAAGGGATTTCAGTTTGCTTTAAAATAGTTATCTCCCTCTTTTTTTCTTATAATTTACTCATTCTTTTTATTTGTCGCATATTCACCATATCGATTTGCTTACATCAGAATTAACGGTGTAAGATGACTGTTTAGAGATGGTATTAGAAATGAACTTATATTTGATCCTTAGATCTTCGATTTGCATTTCTTTGTATTATAAAGGCTGTATGAAGAAATTGCATTTTATTCAATGGAGGGAAATCCGGTGAAAATTTTGATTTATGGGCAGTAATTAACACAATTAGAACAAACAATAATCGAAAAACAGGGCAAATAAAGAAACAAAAATCAGAAAACTAGACAATACTGAGCAGAAAATTATTTAGCAGCCGTAATCAATAAGGGTAGTTTCATGACGATTGTGTTTGATCAATTACAGCATTTGTCACTACTCCAGGAATATTTAAAATGCGGGAATTTAAATTCCTTTTTTTTAAGGGTACAAAGCCACCAGCAGCAGCAGCAGCAGTAAAACCAATCAGTTCCAACAACACTTCATCTGGAGGTCCACCACCTCCGCCACCTCCTGTTCTTCCACCTGGTCAGTTTGTTGTGCTTTTTTTTATGCTTATATTTTAAGGACGGTTAGTTTCCTGTTGAAGTAAATGATTTAAAGATCTAGCATCATATGAACAATCCATTTGGGAAGTTGAAATCTTTGTTATATCCGACATGCATCTGTGATATTATGAAAGAGACATACTGCACTGAATATCTGGTCTGATTTTTGTTTGCTACCTAGTTAACTTGTGGTTTAATTTAAACTTCAGTTTTGGGTGTTGTAAGCCATTATTGTTAGTGCGATACTGTAACTTGGTGTTTTGTTTGTTTTTTCCCACTTGATAATTACAGAACTTCATAAATTCGGACATTTTTTCACCTGTGTTCATTATTCATTCCAGCTGTTTCCATGGATAACGAGATATTTCAATCTCATTTTTCCATGTGTAAATCTTTTTCTTTATAGATCTTTTTGCTGCAGTATCATCTGAAACAAATGTTTCAACCGATAAAAGTGATCGGGCAGCTTTATTTGCGGAAATTAATGCCGGAGAAGAAATTACAAAACGTTTGAAAAAAGTAACACCTAATATGCAAACACATAAGAACCCGGCACTTCGGTCACAGGTATGGTTATTTTTCGAAAGTTTTCTTTTTTTATATTCATTACGAGGCAACTTCACACAATCTCAAATATGGGATATAGATGAGTCGCTAATCTACTCTGGATTACTTTCCGTGATTTCAAAAAATTTCATTCTATACCCTGGCAACAGGCAAGACATTCTTTTTTCATCTACATTAGCAGGACTATTATTTAAACAAGCGAACTTATAGCTTAGACAGGTTGATTTTTAGGTCGATCAGCTGACTAATTTTTAGCATTTTAGGATGATCAGTTCTAAAAAACAATGGATTATTTGGTAAAGTGTTAATTGAGTATCACTTTGTCAGTTAATTGCCAAACTTTTGTCAGCTTCTTATGTGTTTCATTATGAGTTTGGAGCTTTTTAGTCTTACCATGTTCTAATGTCATTTAATTTCCAAGTTCGTCTACCCTTATCGTAATCATGTTAGAATGTAATCTTATGTTATCCTCATGTAAGTAAAAACGCTTCCCTTAGAGTATTTGGTGTTTTATTTCATTTTTTACCATGTCTCAATAAATTTTTGTATCCTTATAGCATAAAGAAGTTGAAGCTGGAACACAAAACAGAGAGACAGCGCTGACGGCAGCTGACGGTACCTCACCGGTAAAAAAGCAAGCAGATAAACCGCCGAAAACGTGGTTGGATAATGGCAAGCAGTGGAACGTTGTAAATTTTACTTTTTCTTATATATATATATATATATATATATATATATATATATATATATATATATATATATATATATATATATATATATATATATAGT